CTCCACTCTCTGGGGGATTCAGAGACAACTAGCAGGGTCTCCCTCCCAGGTGGGTGACATGGCAGGGCAGGGCACCCTCTTGGTGCCCAGAGCTGTGGTTGATGGGTTGGCTCCGAGTTTTCCCACAGTGATTCGCTGCTCCTGTCTCTGCCCACCGAGCCTCCCCCATTTCCAGTCATATCCTCCTTGAGGCCCTGTCTGGACTACCTGACAGAAACTGTGTGAGCGCGCCCTGCAGCCCTGAGGCCCCTTCCCCGCGTGCTTCTGGCCCTGAGCTATGAGGTAGTGGAGCTCTGCTGCCTGACGCAATGTCTGGCGAGGCCCGTCCAGTATCAGAGTTGCATCCACAGCTGACTTGGACCCCACCTTCTTTAGGGAGAGGCCAAGAGGCCCTTCAGGCCATTTTTGGTCTCAGTGGAAGGCCTAGAAAGCCGAAGGCCTGCTTGGGAGCCATCCAAGTAGAAGACTTGTATAGTGATGGCCCCTTGCCAGATGGTGAGGGAGGGCTAAGAGAAACGCCCCAAGAGGAAAGAAAGATGGGAAGGAAAGCCTTCCCAACTGTTTCCAGGCCTCCACTCACAATTTTTTTCTATTGTTCCCTTGCTAAGATTTGACCCTCCCTGTCATTAGCAGGGAGCTATGAGGGGCTTAAACTGAACACCCTTAAGGCTCAGTTAGTTCATCCTCAAAACAGCACCCCATACTGACGGGATAACTCAAGAGACTGGCGTGTGCACAGCCCCAATGAAGTTTTGCCCGTGGTGTGCACCCTCGTGTCCCTAGCCATGGTTTGCACCCCAGTTCACTCAGCACGTCACAGCGTCCATGCTCACAGCACATGCCTGGGGTCCGCCCACAGCCCTTCCCGGCCCACACACAGTATCCACCAGACAGAACAGCGGCTTTTACTTCTTCCTCTTCATATTTCCCTCTACTTAGGATGATGACAAAGCATCTCACATGGAAATAAATGCTTTGGAAAAGGTATCTTCTTTTCATCTAACAAGTAGTTAGGGAGCACCTACCCTGTGGCTGGGGCCCTCAGAATAATACACTGGGCTTCTAGGCACTGGGACTACAGAGGTGTGACAGACAGATATGGAACTGACATGCTGGTGGCTGAAACGGGTATTTAGGACATTTCCTGCTAGGAAGGAAGTAAAACCATAAGCTGGGAGGGAAAGTGGTGGGGACAGGGAGGTGGTCACGATGGCACCCCAGGGGGGGCATCTGTGACCCTCCCCTAGGTCTGGCAACTACCCACACTCTCCCTGGGACCTGACACCTCCCTCACCTGCTGCCCACCCACTTCCAGGGGCTCCAGCTTCCAGGCCTAGACCCCGGGGCCGCTGCCAGGGGAAAAGCAAAGGAGCCAACAGCCAGCCTTGTGTTTCTTGTCAGAGACCTTTCTCCTGTTTCTTCCCTTTAGGGCAATGCTGGGAAGGTTCTTAGGAACCTTTTGGGGGTGGGGGTGGGTGGGAGAGGAACTGGGACAGCAGCTCAAAAATGGAATTAATGCCCAGCAGAGAGGGGAAACAACCAAGCTTCTAAATCTTACTAAAATCTGGAGAGGACAGTGGAGGCAACCCCCTCAGCTCTGGCCCTGGCTTTGCCTTCTGCCCGCATCCATCGTCTTCAGTGGTTACTGTTCCTCTCAGCTGCCTTACGCAGTTGGTGCTGCGCTCATGCTACAGGCAATGGAGCTGAGGCCCAGCGCGGTCACATACACAAGGTAAACAGGGCATGGGGGACACAGGAGAAAGACAAGAACCCAGCGTGTCTGGCCCTCGCCCTTTCCGCTTCCCTCATGTCATTAGCTCCAAGGAGCTGGTCAGGAGTTCAAGTTTTGTGCTCTGCAGACTCGATGTTGGGGCTCACCGCCCAATAGGACAGGAGGCCTCTCCCCACCTCAGGCTAAACGGGTGTAGCAGGAACACGGCCATGCCCATCAGTCTGCAAACTCCAGCTAACAGTCTGCCAGGTGCGCGCTAGGCCTCAGTGACTTGCTGGGCCGCTGGCAGGTGCCACGGGCCGTTCTAGATGCTAGTCTCGACTCCAGAGAGCTCACAGTCTGGGAAAGGGAGACAGCCTCGTTTGGAAAGTGGATGGCACAGCAGCGTCACGGGGCGTCCTGAGGGGCTGGACCTGGGAGGGCTGGTTAAGGCTTGGATGAGTAACTTAACCTCTCTCAAGCTCCATGTCCTCACTGTGAAATGGGTTAGTTGCTACCTAATAGGGCTTTCGTGAGGCTTTGATGAGGACATGCCAATCAAGTGCTTAGCCTTTCATCTGGCACCCAGCAGCAAGCACTGGGTAAACTGGAGCTGACCTGCGGTTCCAGCAGGCCCTTCCAAGCAGAGTGTAAACCCAGAGGGCAGGAGGGCACAGACTGTGTCTGCTTGTTTACTTCTGTGTCCTCAGTGCTTAGACCAGAGATTTGCCCAGAGTAGGTGCTAAGAAAATACTTGTTTCATGAGTGCATGGGGGAAAAGCTAGATGATTTAGGAAGAGACAGGAATATTCCAGATGCTCTATAGCTGATGTCGCTTCCCCTCTTGCCTCCCAGGCCCCTCTCCACCCACCCACGCTCAGGCAGTATGCCAGTACGCCATCAGGGACAGTGGCTGGTGGCCCCATCATCACGCTGCCCTGCACAGCTGGGGGCTCCTTGCAGAACCCCTGCTCCACTGCCTTCTCCTTTGTGGGATGAAGGTGCAGCTCTGGGACCCTTTCTGCCTTCCCCTCTCCCATGTCAACATCAGCTGCTTTCCTTAGGAAAAGCCATCTTGTCCATAAAGAGGGATGGCTCTGGATGCTATGCATGAGAGCACAGTAAGATTTTCCCAGAGTTGGAGCAGACTGTCTCCTACGATGGAGAGACGTTTGGGAGGAGACACTGCGCTGGAATCTGGGGCTCGTGGCGCTGGCCACACATGGGTGTGATGCTGCTGATGGTGATAACGATGAATGAAAGAATTATGAATCAGGCTCCCCTGGGCAATGCTGTGTTTGGTCCATATTTAAAACATACACAACTTGTGCTGAGGGTCATTTTTCCTTTATCCATTCTGGCATCCAGCAGCTATGTGTGAGCTACCCTGTGTCCTGGCCCAGTGCTAAGGGATAGTGAACAGCCCAGAACAACTGCCCATTTTCCATGAAGGCGTGATCCTTGAACAAGTTCTACAAGTGGGTTGACTTTGTGATTGATTCTGAGGGGCTAAGGGAGATAGCCCTAACCTGTTTTGGGGGACACTGCCCTGGGAAGCTGAGATCTGAAGCTGAGACCATGTTAAAGGTTTTGTTGGAATTTATGAGCTGTAGTATGTTGTTTTGCCTTAATGTTTCTTAATTTATACATCTTCATGGTAAAAGGCATAACAGTGCCGAGTGTCACACAGCAATTGTAAGGCCTCTCCTGACCTACCATGTCTTTGCTACCTGGCCTGTATACCCCTGCAGCAAACATTCATTCACAGCCAGCGTCTATATTATTTATCCACTTAATAGTATTTTTTTTTTTTTCAAATGGCATCATACTACTTCATATTCCCAGTCTGGAAGGACTTGACCTCTCCCGTCACGTACCCAGGAAACAGCTGACAATGTCTGGAGACACCCTAGACAGTCACATCTGAGTAGGGGATCTAATGGACAGAGATCAAGGATGCTTGTACACATCCTGCAGTACTTGGGACAACCTCCACAACAAGGAATTGCCTTGTCCAAAATGGCATTAGTGCTGAAGTTAAGAAACCCCTCCTCTATAGTCTGCTATTTGACTTACATACATACACATGCATGTACACATACATTATATGTTATATATAAAAGATTGTTCACTTCCGTATTTATAGATCCTCCTCATTATTCTTTGTGGTTGCTGACACAAGCTATGCAACATCCATCGTCTGACAGATTCCGGGTGGATCGGGATAAGCTCTGAAAAATCAGACTGTCCACTGCTAACTTATGTTATGACCTCCCTTTTTTGTATAAACATAATATCAAAATATTCTGAGCAACATTCAGTTTACAACTAGGTTGACTTAGCTGCAAAAGGCAGCTGCTGGTTCAGGCAAGGTGCCCCAGGGTGAGAAATTCCTCTGTCTCCCTGAGACAAAAGCCAAGCACCAGGAGAGATAAGACCCAAGGGCATAAAAAACTCCTGGAAAGCCTCCTTGGTTTCTTTGAATAAAAATTAAAAAAACTTCAGATAAGGCTCCCAGGGCATAAGGACTCATGGACAAATTTTAACCTTGACTACACAGGTGTTGTTTGATATACAACTGTACAACTTTCTCTTAATTTACTCCCTTTTAAAGCAAGCACAAACTACTCTCTGATAGCCTCAAATTACCCATTAGCTTTTCCTTAGACAATCACTGATAACACTGCTAACACAATTTATTACTGTCCCAAGACCCCTAACAACCTTTTGCTAACAAGCTCACCCTTTTCCAGACCCCTCTTCCTTTGATGATAACTAGACAGCTGTATATATGATAACTGTCACAAAAACGTATAATTTAGCATACCATAAATTGTAAACAGAAGAATACTTTTTTCACTTTGTCCTTGAGAATGTTTTATGGAGATATCTCTTGTTAACTTGCCTACACATTACTGTAATTAACTATTTGCTACACAGTATAAATAAAGACCTGCTGAAGGAAAAGCAGGAAGACTTGCACTCTATCCTGACTCCCTTGTCATCCTCGCGTCTGCTCCCCTCTCCCCCCTTTTTGGAATATCCGTTTGCAGAAGCCTTCCCATCTTAGGGTCCTGCCTGTGCTGCCTCGAGACACCCCAAAGGTTGGAGTTGGTCTCCGACAGGTTGCATAATCCATTGTACGTCTGCTTCATCCTGTTTCATTTAGGTGTTCTGGTCTTTTGCTATTGCAGGTATTTATGCCTCAAGGAACATTCTTGTCCATATACAAGCCTTTGAGTTATGCGGAGGCAAGATGGATGAGTCAGAGGGTGTATAAGCATTTTAAGTGGCTTGATTTCAAATCTCCTTGGGGTACAGTTCATTGGGAGCGTGGCTCTCTGGTCCTGACTGCTCAGTGGGGCCCAGCGTGTCAAAAGTCTGGTGAGAAAAAGAGAGCCAAGGCCCTCTTGGGTCCTTATCTACAGCTACGGTCATCCTGCCCACTCGTCTTTCCACAGGACCAGGTGACCCCATATGAAGACGAACACTAGGAGCCAGATTCTGCATGATGCTGCAGAGCTGAGTGCCCATGGCCCCACCTTTCCCCATGGAGAAAGGACTCACTTTACCCCAGGACTTCCGGGACTTTCTGCACAGTCTGAGGATGAGAAGCAAATATGCCCTCTTCCTTGCTTTTGTAGTGATAGTTTTTGTCTTCATCGAAAAGGAAAATAAAATCATTTCCAGGTGAGAGACGCAAAAATCTTCCTTATCAAGGTGGGGGTGGGGCTGCAGGGTTTTCCGTGGGACTGCAAGGCCACCC